TTTAATATAGAGAAAGTAATCTGAACTAAACCTGGCAGAAAAATACCATTTTATCTCTTGGCCAAAAGATATCTCTGGGGAGACTCTCTAACCACCTGTTGTACATAAAAAAAAATTCTGTTTTTGTGGGAGACAAAAATGTAATCTATGACCAAAAAAGGTAAGTAAAAAACTGTTTTCACTTCTCTCAGACAACAGTAATTAACTTACTGAGAGATAGCATATGCTAAGTATATTTTAGAAAAATAATTCTAACAATTGTTTTTGAAGTGTATGCTTGTTTAATATAAGCAGTAACAAAAATATTAGTATTTTAAAACTGTAAATGTATTTTCTATTTCTCATCCAACTCTCAATAAGTAAAATAATTCTGATGTAAGGAACATACAAATACGTGAAATATATTTGCTTAGGGGTGCCTGGTGGCTGAGCCGTTAAGCATCTGCCTTCAGCTCAGGTCATGACCCCAGGGTCCTGGGATTGAGCCCCAAATTGGGCTCTCTGCTCAGCAAGGAGCCTGCTTCTCCTTCTCCCACTCCCCCTGCTTGTGTTCCTGCTCTCGCTATCTCTCTCTCTGTGAAAATAAATAAATAAAATCTTTAAAAATATATATATATGTTTGCTTAGCAGTATTCTTGTTACCAAAGCAAATGGCCTTCAATCATTAATACTAGTATCATAAATATTCTAAAAAACTATCAAATATCTAGGGCTATATCAAGCACCTAGGAATAAAAATATCAAATACCTAGTAATAAAACAAATGAAATAACTCCTTATTGAAAACTACAAAATATTACTGAAAGAAATTAAATGACATATATCAAGGTATACCATGGTCATGAACTGCAAGTTTCATTATAAAAATGCCAGTCTTTCCAAACTGATGTATAGGTTCAACATAATCACAATAAAATCCCAGCAGAGTTTTCGTGGAAATTTACAAGCTGATTCAAAATGTTAATGAAAATGCAAAGAACAATAAAAATAGCACAAATCACTACTGAAGAACAAAGCTGAAGGACTTATACTACCAGTTAACAATTATAAAGCCTACTGACGATGAGTTTAGACACAAGGATAGACAAAAGGACGAATGAAACAGAGTCTAGAAGTAGACCCAGAATTAATCAATCACCTGATTTATGACATGGATGAGATCGTAGTAACGGGAAGGATGGTCATTTCAGTAATGGTGCCAGTCAATTAGAGATCCATATAAAAAAGAATCAATCTTGACTCCTCACACCAGACACAGAAGTCAATTCCAGATATACTTTACACCTAAATGTGAAAGGCTTAAAAAATTAACTTTTTAAGAAGGAAGCAAAAGAGGGATGCCTGGGTAGCTCAGTCAGTTAAGAAATCTGTCTTCGGCTCAGGTCATGATCCCAGGGTCCTGGGACTGAGGCCCACATCTGGCTCCCTGCTCAGCGGGGAGCCTGCTTCTCCCTCTCCCACTCCCCCTGCTTGTGTTCCCTCTCTCGCTGTGTCTCTCTGTCAAACAAATAAATAAAATCTTAGAAAAGAAGGAAGCAAAAGAGAACATCTTCATGACCTTGGAACTGGCAAAAAATAGACAAAATTTTCTTAACCAGGACATAAAGGAAAGCTTTGGTAAATTGGAAATTAAAGTTAAAACTTTCTGTTCATTAAAAGCCAGGATAAAGTGAGTGAAAAGCTGTCATGGAATAAGTAAAGATATCAGCAATCATATATTCAACAAAAAAATTTGTATCAATAAAATGTAATGAACTCTTATAAGCCAATAATGAAAAGGCAGAAAAACCCAAAATGGACAAAGACAATATCCAAATGACTAAGAAGCAAAGAAGTAGCAGCTCAATTTCATTAGTCCAATGTAGTGATGCCGCTACACACCCAACAAAAAGATTCAAGTAAAACAAGACAGAAAATATCAAGTGTTGGCAAGGATGTGGAGCTAGTGGAACAGTGGAACAAACACTACTGATGAATCTTAATTGGGACAACCACAGCTGCTGAATAATATCCATGAGAGCTAAACATACGTATTCTAATGACCCAGCAATTCCACTCCTAGGAATCTATTCACTAGAATGCACACATATATTCACCAAAAGACATTTATGATAATGTGTATATTAACAGTAGAATGGATTAGGGACGCCTGGGTGGCTCAGTCAGTTAAGCTTCTGCCTTCGGCTCAGGTCATGATCCCAGGGTCCTGGGATGGAGTTCTACATCAGGCTCCCTGCTCAGCAGGAAGCCTGCTTCTCCCTCTGCCTGCCACTCCCCCTGCTTGTGTTCTCTCTATCTGTGACAAATGGATAAATAAAATATTTTTTAAAAATTAAAAAAATAGGGCGCCTGGGTGGCTCAGTTGCTTAAGCGACTGCCTTCGGCTCAGGTCATGATCCTGGAGTCCCGGGATCGAGTCCCACATCGGGCTTCCTGCTCGGCGGGGGGTCTGCTTCTCCCTCTGACCCTCTTCCCTCTCGTGCTTTCTATCTCTCGTTCTCTCTCTCTCTCAAATAAATAAATAAAATCTTTAAAAAAAAAATAAAAAATAAAAAAAATAAAAATTAAAAAAATAAACAGTAGAATGTATTAATGTATTGTGATATAAACACAGAATGGAACACTATACTGCAATAAAAATGAATAACTATATAAGCAACATTACTTAAACATGGTAAGTATGCTTTTTCTAAGCATGAGCAAAGAAACCAGAAACAAGAGTATACAACTGTTCTTTGCTCTCTCAGAATGAACTTCCCTCGGAGCAGTGTTCCCTGTGTTCTCCTCTGCCTCTCCATGAACTTGTGGCTGGGTTTTGGATGGGTAGGTCTATTTGCTGCCAGAGTTCAATATAAGGACAACTTAATAGATTCTTCAGAATCAACTTTGTAAGTGATGAAAGTGATCTTTTGGGGGGCATCTGGGTGGCTCAGTGGGTTAAGTATCTGACTCTTGATTTGGGCTCAAATCATGATCTCAGGTCATGGGATCATGACCGACATCGGGCTCCGTGCTCAGTGGGGAGTCTGCTTGAGATTCTCTCTCTCTCCCCCTCTCTCTTTACCCCTCCCCCAACCCCTCTCCTCCTCCCTCTCTCACAAAAAAAAAAAAAAAAGAAGCTAGGCTTCATCTATACTTGGAAGGCACAAAGAGGTCTTCTCTATTTTTGTTTTGTTTTGTTCTGAGTGAGATATATCACACATAGAGAAGAGCACTAAATGTATTTAAGTAGGAGAATCATCAGGGTTTTAGAAAGAAAACTTAAACTGCACTTAAGAGGTTATTGTTCAACATCCTGACTTCTCTTCTAGCTGGGACACTCACAACTATATTCCCAGTGCACAACCTGGAGAGGAAGTACAGTAAATACTTGCTGATAACAGAGAGAACACTGAAATTGTCCCAGTAAAGGACAAAGGCATCAACTACAGAAGTAGCCAAGAAAATGGAGAGGTAGGAGTGCTCAGATCTCATATAACAAGAAATCTAGAAGCGTGAGAGGAAGGCATAAAGGTGAATGAATTTTCCATTTTGGGTGAACATGTAGATGGTTAGTCATTAAGCCAAATATGTAATGCAAAAAAAGGAGCAGGTTTAGGAAAAAAGAGAACAAATTCGATTATATCTATTAGAGATCAAGTGAGTACTTTCAGCAATGGTGCCATTTGGCAATGTTACAAATCAGGAACTTACAAGGGAGGTCTCTCCGCTGTAAGATATTGCTGCTAGTGTTTTAGATGTATGTTTGTAAACCATTAAGTTGCTTGCTGGCCACGCCCACATATGTGAAGTGACTTGAGTAAAAATTATTCATTGCAGTAAGGTTTGTAATAACAGAATATTTTAGAAACACCTCAAATGCCCGTTAATACCTGATCAGTTAAATGTCTGATCTCATTTGCAATGGGTCAAATAGAAAGTCAGCATTTTGGGACAGGTAATTTAAGAGTGAAATAAAAAAGAATGACTAAGTTTAAGTTCACAATACTTTTAAATTAATCTATTCTACTATACCTGTATTCATAGCAGTCACAAAATAAGCATAACTTCAAATGAGTGATCTAAAAATCATAACACCATAGTTGGCATGTATTTTAAAGGTCTGATAATCAAGTATTAACCAAGTTCCATAAAATCCTTTATTTTGGTTTTTTTTTTAAGATTTTATTTATTTATTTATTTGAGAGAGAGAGCACAAGGGGAGCGGCAGTAAGAGGCAGAGGGAGAAGCAGGCTCCCCGATGAGCAGGGAGCCCAACACAGGGCTCGATCCCGGGACTCTGGGATCATGACCTGAGCTGAAGGCAGATGCTTAACTGACTGAGCCACCCAGGTGCCCCATAAAATCCTTTAAAATGTCAAAGCCAACCAATATTTTTAGTACCTTAGATTCATAAACTGTAATAATGGGAACCAATGTTTATGTATCACTTCAGAGTTTACAAACCATTTTGCACTTCTGATAATCCTAACAACCATATAGGATATGTGAAGCAGGTGGACATCACTTGCCAAAAGTTAAGATGAAAGCTTTATTTACCTACCAAGGCAAAGTTTCAAAATTAAGGATAGAGACAGTTTTATTCTTTCAAAAGAATAGAAGTTTAATTCCACTGGTTCCTCAAGCTGCAAGGGAGTTAATGATTTTGTTCCACTCTTAATTTAAATTTAAGTTAAATCTGTAACTTCCAAAAGACACACAACTAGCCAAAATAAGGCATAGTGGAAATCTTTGCAAAACCACACTTCATGTCATTTCCCTGTCTCCATCAAATCCTGTAATGGAAAAACTTTTATGTTCTAGTTTTCTGAGACAAATTCTAAAAATAAGCTAATATATCACTCACTGCACAAGACATATTTCGGGTTGATCCACAAACTCCTATAGATAATATAAAATGTTACCAGAGTAAAAGGATGTAATATTGAATCACCTAGTCTCTGCACAGATCACTCTACAGAGCCTCATGGGCATCTCGCAGCCCATGGGGGTTTACTCACCTCCAAAGGCACAAGGACGGATGGTTTCTTTTTCAGCTCTTCACATTTCCTTTTCTTACAGATTTGATGGCTGTTCTTTCTGTTCTTGCAGTAAGTACATTCACCACAATTGGTCTTCTGCTGGCAGGGCTCACAGACCCCACAGCGCTTTCGTTTCTTCTTTTCCAAAGTAGGTAGCAAAGTTGTATAGGAAGGAGAAGAGGAGGTACTGGCGAGTGACACTGGCCTAGACACCACTGTGGTGTTGATGTCAACCACACTGGTCATGCTGATCTGGGAGCTCCCTCCTTCCAATGTGCTGGCACCAGCCTGGGATAGTTGGGTAATGCCCTGGGAAGCATGGACGAGTCCTCGCTCAGGGGCTCTTGGGACCCCCTGAGTGTTGGCTGGCAGAAAGCTTATATGAACCTGCTTCTCATTTTCTATATTGCTAATAGTCATTATTGGAGGTACTGAACTTATCTCTGAGTTTGATGATGGCTGAGGAGTGTGACCTGAGCCCAAAGGCAAAATCTGCACAGCGCCCTGGACCTCAAGCCCATATGAAACAGTGCTCTGGGGCTCAAGCCATTCTGGGAGAGCATTATAGGTAGCAATTGGGTTTAGAGGAGCAGGAAGAAAGATAGGTGGGTCTGAGGCAGTACCACCACCCATTCTGAGGATTTGCTGGTCTAGGATAGCACCGAAGACCTCTCCTTGGACTGGAATAGCACCAGGCATCACTGGTGGGTCTGCGGTCTCATCCAGAGCCTCCCCATGAATTATGTTATCACCAGGAACTTCCCATCGATGTGGGATAGCACTAAAAGCCTGTCCTATGATAGGGGTGGTATCAGGAATTTCCTGTTGCTCTGGGATAGCTTTGAGTGCCTCTTGATGATCTGGTTTAGCACCAAGGGTTTCTTGTTCTGAGCTTGCCAAGAGGAGTTTTATTAATGAGGTAGGATATATTGACCCACCAATGGACAAACAGTTTCTAAGGTCCAATTCAGGTATAACCTTATTAAAGCTTGAGGTGGGGTAGCAATTACGTTCACTTTTGATGGGATCCAGGTAAGCATCAGATAGCTTAAGAGATTCTACTCGTGAACCCAAATCTTCTAACTGAATGCTGGAGTTTCCTTCGTAAGTAACCTTGAGGGCTGCTCTTTGGAGCAAAGGAGCACACAGAGTGTCCTGAGCAAACAATCTAGGGGAGTCACTGATAGCATTCAATGTCTCTTTAGAGAACAGTCCTTCACCACCACATGTCTCTTCCGATGACCCAGAAAGGATCTCTACTGCAGGGTCACTCTGAGTGGAAATATTTATTTTGGAATCCTCCACCCTTTGGGACCAAGAATGGGTTGTGTCTTGGCTCTCACCTTTAATTAAAGTTGCATTCTGAACACCAATTAGATTCTCTACATCAGGAGCAATTAGGGGAACTTGTGTTGGAACTGATTCATTTTCTGAGTGTTTTACTCCCATGTCAGCAACTACATTATAATCACATCCATGTTGCTTTTCTAAATTTTTAGGAGGTGGAACTTTCTTGGGTTTGGCTATGATCATTGGAGGTTGGGAGAGTCGCCTGCTAAGAGAGGTGCTTCGGAGAGCCATTGTAAACCCATTGCAAGTTAAGGATTCTGGGTTCTGAAAAAGAACCTCAGTCCTATCCAAATTCATTCGTGCTGCTCCAGCTCTTGTCAGAAGGCTTCTGACTGGCATAGGTGGTTTGGGTTCTATTTTTTTCTTAACATCTCTTTCTTGAATTAATTGTTTTAATTTTCCGGGGCTCACAGTCTTGACTGATGCCACATTTTTGTTGGCTGCCTTAGATGTCTTCTTCAGCTGGGTGCTTTTCTTTCTGTTCAGATCTTCCCTCCTGACTAATCTGGAAGGCCTTGCATGGCGGGATCGAGACATAGCTACAGAGTAGGAAAAAATGAAAGGGCACAGGGAACAGAGTCATTGGTCCTTTGGAAAGCCTCACTTCTGAGGAGAATCTGGATGCACCATGGCTGAACTCAGTGACACAAGATTTTGGTCTGAAACAACAAAAAAACATTGGGAGTGAGTCTTTTTCTTATGTATTCTCCCATTTGAAACAAAACATCTACTAATAATTATTAATCAAAATTAGGGCACTGAGAATGTTTACTGCAAAAGAAAAATACAATAAACACAAAAGATACTCAAAAACCCTTTAAACCCTGGATTCACAAATGAAGCTCCTTTAATTACTGTGACAACTGCTTTAGTTGATGAAGTTCTATGCACAGAGTAAGCATGGGGGTTATTCTATATTAGAAAACACAACTGCTGTAGTTACATGTAGTTTAAAAATCAAATCCTAATCTTTACAAATCTGAGTACTTAAAAAGTTCTCTCTTTCCTCAGCACATCACCACACAGGCAAAGGTGTCATGTGCTGGACAGTAAAGCTGGTAAAACCAGGGGAAGAAGAGGCTTATTATAATTCAAGAAACTCTACTTGGAGATCCAATAATATTAATACCACATTCCAATTGACAGTCTACAAATTTTGAGCTTTACACATGCACACAAAAATAGCAGAAAATCTGAGAAGTTAGTATTGACAGATTAGGTTACAAATAAGACTCACGGGTCCAACAAATATCTGTTGAGTACCTACTATGTATAAGGAAGGCATTGTGGTGGGCACTGCCCACACCCAGAAATGATGTCCCTCTTTTCTCTTTCACCCGACTTAATCCAAAGACTGCTGGTTCTAAAATCCCTTCTACCAAGGGTCCCAAAAGTCTCATGATGAATGCCTAGGCAAGGAAATTGGAAATAAAGAGAAAATGAGATAATTAGAATGGTAAAGCATTCTAGGCAAGCAACTATTATTTGGAAGGTAAGCAAGAGAAAAGAAGAAAATGAAAGCGGACTGACTAAGCCATCATTAATTATCTTTGGTCTCCTCAGATTGCTTACCCTAATGCAGAATAAAACCAAACTATGAACAAGAGTAAAGCTCACCATACGAGATGTATCATACTCTCTAAAGATCACAGAATCAAGAGTGGTACAACCGAGTGGGTGAGGATTCTTTAACAGTTGACAGGTTGTTGGATTTGTTAGAAAGCATGGTATAGGATAGTTACCAAAAACTGATCTGTAACCCGCGGTCAACAGTCTGTGACAAAATCAGAAAAAAACAGGCAGTATCAAGTTTTTCATAAAGTTGAATTTATTCATTTTAAACAACTCTTCTTGGGGCACCTGGGTGGCTCAGTCAGTTAAGCAACTGCTTTTGGCTCAGGTCATGATCCTGATGTCCTGGGATTGAGCCCCGAGTCGGGCTCCCTGCTCAGCGGGGAGCCTGCTTCTCCCTCTCCCTCTCTCTCCCCTCTGCAGTGCTCTCTCTCGCTATCTCTCTCTCTTTCTCAAATAAATAAAATCTTAAAAAATAATAATAATAATAAACAACTCTTCTTTACTCTGAAGTTAAGCCTTCCAGTTTTCTCTCTTTCTCTCTTTTTTGGGGTGCCTAGGTGGCTTAGTCGATTGAGCAACCTGCTCCTGACTTCCACTGGGGTCAGCTTGGGTCATGATCTCAGGTCAGGGGATGGAGCCCCACCACTGGGCTCCGAGTTGAGGTGGAGTCTGATTGGGATTCTCTCTCTCTTCTCCTTCTGCCCCTCCCCCCGCTCACACTCAGGCTCACTTGCTCTCTCTCAAATAAATAAATAGGGGCGCCTGAGTGGCTCAGTGGGATAAGTCTCTCACTTCAGCTCAGGTCATGATCCAGGGTCCTGGGATTAAGGCCCACCCCCTACCTCCCCTGCTGGTCTGCCAGGAATCCCCACTCAGCAGGGAGTTGGCTTCTTCCTCTCCCTCTGCCCCTCCCCCCATTCGTGCTCTCTCTCTCTCTCTCTCTCTCTCTCTCTCTCTCTCTCTCTCTCAAGTAAATAAAGTCTTTTAAAAATAATAAATAAATAAAACCTTTTAAAAATGTCCTTTCTTTAAAAAAGTAATAGAAGTCCTTTCTTTTGTCAAAAGGGAGCAATAGGTTTATTTTATACTGTTATTACTTAGCAAAGTAAAAACTTGAACAGCCCTCTATCATTCTTCAAATTGATTTGTTTTTGTTGTACTTATCTGATCCAGGTAATCCTGGGATGCACTGGTTGGTTTAGTAGTTAGAGATGTGTCCATCAGAAAGCTGTGAGTTTGAATCTGTGATCACCAGCTATGTCCTTCCAGAACCTATTTAACTGAGTCAAAGTTTCTACATCTGAAATGAGGTTGTTTTGAGGAATCACTGGGCTCCTACGGGGAAAGCCTAGTGGCTTCCTAGTGATATCTGAGGTTGAGGAGGGAGCGGGGAAGGTAAGGTAAGAAGAACTTTGTAAGTAGGCAGACTTGGGTTCAGTTTCCAGCTCAGAAACATTACTAGTCATGTGATTCTGATATATTCCTCAGTCCCTCTATACTTCAGTTTCCTTACGTGTAATCGAACAGGAAGCATAACAGTACTGACCTCACTGGGTTACCATGAGAATAAAATGAGATGACATGTGTGAACACTTAGCACAGGGCTGGCATATAATAGGTGTTCAATAGTAAATGGGAGGTAAAAAAATAAAGGCTGCTTATACTTCTGAAATACAAAAAATAATAAGAGAAAATGAGCTAAAGAGTGGTTATCATTATTATCGAAACAGTTTAACCCACAGTCTGCCATATTCTGCAAAACAAGATCTAGTTCTTTGGTTTCTGTTATCACCTAACACATTGTAAGCCAGGCACTATAATAAAAGATCCCAGAGCACAACATTTAGAGTCAAAGCATTGTGCCTTTAAGACAGACTTTTTAAATAGACATTAGTGATAACATTAACCACAAGAAAAATAAGTCTGATAAATCTGTGCTAAACACAAACACTAGACCAGAGAATACTTGACTTGAGTTCTTGGCAACTAAGCTTACCGCTTCCCCCTTTTCTTAAAAAAAGAAAAAAAAGTTTTTGGCTTGCACTAACTTTTTGGCTGTGAAAAACTGTAGGATATTTTCTCCAAAGACCACTGCTTTTTGTACCAGTATTTTTAGAAAAAAAAAAAAAAGACATTCCAATTCTAATCTCCAGAAAGTCAGCAGTCTTTATAAGGATGTTTTTTTCAGATAGCAAAAAGCAATCCTTTCCATTCTTTAGAAATTCAACAATATCGGTATAAGCTTGCTTTATCTCTTGTATCAAGATTACATTGCTAAAAAATTATTAGGAGCATATAATCTAGGTATTGCAATCAGCCACGAAATTAAAATTCACATATGTAGGCAAGTAATCTGGATATGCCAGAAGGTGTCATGGGATCTGCCTTTGAGAGTAGTTTATAAATTGATCTCTGTCTCATATATTCTTTTATATTTTTAAATTAAAGTGCTTTAGAAATTCAGACTTGTAATTAAGATAATGTTTACCATTCAAATCTTATCTCCTGAAAAAGAGCCTGCCAAGGAAATGGAAAAGGTATGAGCAACATGGATTGGGAAGATGTGGCCTCTTTAAATGGTAACAGCCTTTTTATGAGATCGTGAAAGAGGCCAATGACCCCTGAAAAACCCAACTGCAGGGGAGAAACCACTGGGTACCACCCAGCCAAAGAAATAGACAATCAGAAACAAAATAAGGGCTCCCACAAGATCCTAATTTTATCACCCTTGGCTCCACTGATGAAATGTGACCTTCTTTTGTGATAAACTAAGTTATCCCCAGGGCTGAACTCTGGGAGGAGAGGCAGCAAGCTTTTTTTTTTTTTTTTGAAATTTGTGGGAAGAAAAAAAAAACCAATGTAGTCCATTCTATTAAACAGGTCTGTATTTAAATATGGAATTATCCCCATAGATCTACTGATATTTATTTTCCTTATTAATCTATAAACATTATTAAATGCTCCATCTCCCCTTATCCCCCATAGGATAATATGATCAGAGCAGAAAATAAGAGAATAGTGTTCCTGTTATTAAACATATACCATAGGTCCTAATTATTTGCAATTAATTGATACTATTCTGTGGGTTCTTATTTTCCTGGAAGAGAAAACAAAATGAAACAAACAGAAAACCCAACCACTGTGGGATGCAAAACATTAGTTAGCAAGTCTTTTCACCAGAGGGCACCAAAAATAAAAATTCTTTTTCCTAAAATGTCCTTGTGATATAGGGTACTAAAGCATATGAGATTCAAACATTATAAGCCAGGAGATAAAAGGCCAACATATAATTTGAAACATGAAAAGACATGCCGCCAGCCTAAAGTTGAAGAAGTGGCAGGAGTAGACCCCAAGGTGAATATGATAAACATTGCCTGTGTAAGGATCTGCTAATTATTCACAAGTAACTTAAACTTACCTAACCAAACTGGTCAACAAATAGGGTCAGGTATTTTCGTCACTATTATTTGAGCTTACTAGGTATTCAACCTTTCCCTACAGAGGGCCTTTTTTTGTAATTAATGAAGTAATTCCTTTGCCTAGAAAATAAAAAGCTTACTTCCTAAACTGTATCAGTTGTCTATAAAGGACAATGTTGACAGCACCTCGTCAGAAAATCCTCTCCCACCTACAACCCTCCTTCTGGATCTCCCAAAGTCCCCTGTGTAGGAAGTGGCTGAACTGATGTAACCATACAGCCGCATGTCAATTTAAAATTATATTGCAACCCTTCCCACTACCAGCAGTGGCCAAAAATGTGGTGAGTGAATTCATCTGTAGGGCTAGAAGCAAAAGAGGTTCTGATTTCATGGTCACTCCATTCAGCTCCTTAGAATTTAAAGCCTGTTGCACTTGACTGAGAAATAGACGATGTAAAACATTTCTTTTAAAAAGGCACCCTGACTTAGCTTCGTCCAGCAATTAAGTTCTACATTTAAAGGAAGAGGAGGTGGGCGGCTGCT